CGGAAGATGAAGATGAACAGGACAAGAGACTGGAGGCGGGATGCAGGAAGCATGGCCATCATCATCTTTATGATTGCTCAAGTTGTCACTCACTGCTTCATCATTCAACCATTACAAAGGTTGAATGATGGAGCCTTGATAGCTCCATCAGCTCACACGAATAACACTGTAACAAAAGCAGGAGGAAAGAAAGAAACAAAGAGAGAAGGAAAGACAGAAAGAAAGAAGCTTGACCACTGTGGGGGAGGAGTGGGTGCCATAAAAGTGCTGAAAACAAGCCCACGCCACCTCGGTCCTCCCAGTATTTTCACCAGACAGGAAGATGGATGGACCCCAGTCTATTAATAAGTACACTTAACTCACCAGCGCACCAAAACTGCTAACACTGCAATTGGCCGCCGATACTAGCTCCAACTATACCACCTCCCACAATGGCGCCCACTCATCTCCTGATTGGAGCGACAGCGCGGTAAACCGAACCCTCCGAGCACAACTTGGAGGCTCTCTTGGGCCAGACCACCGGGAGCTATTGATCGATGAGGCGACAAGTGAGCTGAACAGGATTTGCAGGACGTTATCGTGTGCTCTCGCAGGATTCAACTTGATGATGTGAAGGAAAAGGATGAGGGGATTCCAAATCGCAGTTGAAATCTGTAAAAATTAAAATAAACATTTTTTTTTAAAAAGTGGGAAAGGGAGCCTAATATATAAATATACAGCGGCATCAATGAAGCAATGGCGCTGTTCCTAATGAGGTGTGACAGCCCAGGATAAATTGGAATATGAAGTGAAGCATGATTATAGAGGATTAGATAACAACCGCAGCGCAGCCCCAGCTTTTCGCTCGCGCTCGGTTTATAAATACATTTGTTGGCGTTCCGTCGGTGCCTGCACACGGATGCCGTGCTCACTTTGGCGGCGGCAGCGGCGTACAGTGTGAGATAGCGGTGAGGTCAGCTCCACCTTCACACTGCTACCGGCTATGATATGCAAAAGCGGTTGAGAGGAGGTGCTTCATCACGCCGCGGCAGCTTGGTGCGCGAGCCTCTGCCCATGATTCATCCATGCCGATTGATTCCCGCCATAAAACGTGCGGTGGCTTTACATTAGACGCAAACTGTGATGATGGCATTTTTTTATTGGGAGCTCACGTGGAACTTGAATGGCAGAAGCCATGGCTCGAATCTGTCTGCCTGCACCTCGATAAAATTCACCAAAATCACGTTGCAGCACCTGTGCCAACATTTGCACCTGGTTTCAGCATGTGTCAAGTTGAATCTACTTTCCGTCACCAAATTGTGAGGTGAGCCGGGGGCGTGAAAAAGAAAACGTCTTCGGTCCACTGGAATGGCCAGCAAGGTGCAGAGCTCTCTGACAACACCCAAACAGGCTAAAAAAAGAATTGCATCAACACAAAAATCAAGATGCGTCAGTTTTACAAACGAAACCACATCGGCGCAGTCGATGAATAAAGAGCCCCATGTGACATCGCTCTCTTCATTTATCTAATTTCTGGACGCCGTTTGTACACAACCAGTTGGGAATCCCCAATGTATTGTTTCTGGGGTGGATTGTTCCAACAAGGCCTTGGTATCTCAAAAGGGTAAAATCCTCACTCATACTTTGACAAAGTGAACATTGGTTACGTTCTTTTGTACAATCCTACAAACCCAAAGTAACAGTGAACAAAACCTGTAACTCATGCTCATGACTTTAAAATCCATAAGACTGGGAATAGGCAACAGTATAGACACTAATAATAAGGGAATCCTGTTAATTTGTTCTTTTTAGCATTAGCATATTGAGTTAACAGGCGGACGAAAACATCTCACCTTCTTTTGTTTTGAAAGTATGAAAAAGGCTACTGACACCTACAGGGCTTAAGTGGAACCGCAACCACCTTAACGTAAAGCGTGAGGGCCTTTTAAAGTCACAAACTAGCTAATGAGCTAAAGTGATATACATTAACATTGAGCCCATTGTAAAAGGAAAAAAGTAAATATAGTTTACCAATGTTTCCACTTCCGTAAATAAGTTTTGCTGACATTTGCGCACACTCCAGAGTGAGTGGAAATGGGCAATCCACTTTCTCAGGCTGGGTCAGTGGAGCCGCGAACATTCCATCTCCAAACGTTTTCATTTTTACGGCTGCGGATTGCTTCGCCACCGCCGGTGTCTCGATTCGGCTCAAACACACTTCATCACCCTGCACTGCCATAAAGAAAAAAAAAAAGATTTCCTCTGCCCCATTTCCCTTAAAGTGAGCTCAGCAATCAGTTTTTCTCTTACAATAAATGCACTCTTGCTTCGCAACTTTACTGATGGCACACTTTGCGATAACAAAACGTCATCGTCCAAAATGTTTGACCGCTTGGTGGTAGAAATATGTTGACAAGTTGCAATTTAGGGAATGTATCAGCTAATTTCTTCGGTTTAATCTATAAAGGGTTAATGTACATTGTTGAATAAAAATGAATTGTTTTCATGATACTCATATTGCTCCAATGCAAATACCGTAGCTCAATAAGTCTTGGTGCCAAGTGTCGCACATCAACGCTTGGCATGCATATTTTGAGTGACAGAAAAAAGGTTTTATTTGAATTTTACAAGAGCACCATAATCTTCAAGTTTAGGATTTCATTTGAAAAACAAAGAAGTAATTTAAAATCAATGACTTATCCATATTCCAAAATGACAAAGGAAAGCCACAGCAGATGATGGGGGAAAGAGCCACCTGCTGCTCGAGAGCCACAGGTTGCAGACCCCTGCTCTGACATATTGCTCACACTCTCAGCAACAGGTATAAAAATGGTGAAGACATCAATAAGATTTCAATATTTTTTACGTTTCATTGAGGTCTCTGGTGGTTGTGATCATGGAAAACTTGGGAGAGCTCCACAAGCTCAAAATGAAGTTTAAAATGATTGAATGAAGTGTGAGTGGAAGAGGCAAAGAGACATATCACAGAGTTACAGAAACTAAATCTATTGATAGAATAATTTGGAGGAAGCCAGCAACTGCCCATAAGTCATGTTTTGTTTGATTTAACTCATCCAAAGTGTGTGGTAATTTGATATATCAATCTGCAAATGCTTGCTTTTAAAACTTGGGAAAACCCGCTCTTGAAGACACCAGTACCAATTGTCACAGTGTGCTGAAAAGAGCCAGATGCAAGGATTGGAGTTGAAAAGGGTCGTGTCATAGGTGATATGGCATGACTCCTTCTTGCATCTGTTTCCAACTCAACTCTTAGATCATTCAGAATCACGAAAATTCTATTGCTGAATAGACTACATGTCATGATAATTTTGGTTAATGGCATTTCAAAAATGTTTACACGGCGAGCAAAGGTCAGTTCTCGCCATCATCCCTCTTTTCTGCCTATGTGATGACCTCACCAGAATAACCGCAGTCATCAGTCTACACAGTGGTGCCAGGTTGCACCCACTTTTCAAACATGATATTTAAAGATTCAAAACAGCCACCATTCTTGTGTCAGGATTGATCAAATCAGCCCTAATGAAATCATACACTGCGATGGTAAAAATTTTAAAACTGAAGTGTTCTTATAATATTGAACATGCTATCAATTATGTTGTTGGATGAATGATTATAAAAATATTATGGACGGTCCCCTTCCAGTGACGAGGAATTAAGCAGCGTAAATTGAATTATTGGTGACGGAGCCCACATCTGACCCCGGCTCTAAAGTGGCGCTTGTTTACGAAACATTGCCTTGCAGGTGCTTTACTGACGGAGCTACAATAGGAAATGCTGCATGCATAATTCAACACTGTAGACACAGTCGTGTTTCCCACTAGCGTTCCCCGGGATAAAAATAAATAAATAAACTGTAGCACGAACTGAGACAAGGAGAAAAGCGCAATAACAAGTTGCACAGTGTTTATCGGCGCAAATACAAATCTGTTCTTACCAAAGATGACCCAGAGCGAGGTACAAAATGTTGAGTGAGTACGAGTGCTGCCAACTGCGCTGCTGTGAAGTGGTCGGTTTAGTGACCTAAACGATATAGTTGGACCAGGCTTGTACTGTACGGCATGGGGCCACTGGATCACCTGCATCAGCTTATGGTGTTGATAAGCGTCCTGGTGAGAGCGTATGTTTAGCTGGGATGGAGGCCCAGGTGCACGACACAATGGAAAGACTTGCGCGTGAGCAGACTGGAAAGCAATGTGTGGCAAGTGACCTCCTTTCCATATGTCGCAACGTACATAACTTTCCATGAGGGGGAAAAAAAATGTTTTTTTTCATCTATCCAAGCATTGGAACTATTTTACACATTTTAAGTACTTCCCTGCAACCTTTGTGAACGTTACTACAGTAACTAGATTACGATGCCAGGCGTTTAGATATGTTCTATTAAGCTTTTCGTGCATTCCAGGTCAATTCATATCTCAGCTACACAGTTTACATGCAGCGCCGGTGATTGCTGAGTCATTTGACCCACTCTTTATGCGGAGATGACATGAAGCAAGGGTTATTGGTGGGTCTAATGACTCTTCATGCAGATATTGATCAGCCTCAACCGTGATCAGTGATCAGTGATCAGCATCTGCACGTTGCATTACCAGGGCATGTTGTTTTCATATCGACCCTTGCCCAAAAAAAAAAAAAAGATGTGTGATGTGATGTGCAAGCTTGCTAATCGATGGAACAAAAAATAAATCTTTGTGATCTTACGGCAAACGCTGACGCTCATTATTTGTGTGGTAGCAATCTCTAAGAAGTGTGAGAAGCACAGTACATGATGTGCAACCAGCCTGACCATAATAGAGAGCAAGAGTGACGATTAAAAGGAACAGATTTGAAGTCTGCATGAGAGGAAAGAATGGAAGAGTTTGATAACGCTTTTCATGATGATCAAACATTGCTCATTATGCAATATTCTGTTAGTTTCACGCATACTGTCAGTGTATTTGTCACAATGACAAAAAATACTTCCAGCTAATGTCAAAATAGTTGTTCATTACTTTACTCACCCTTCCCTGCCTTCATCTTCATCAGCATTGGAAAGGAGCTGCGAGCCAGCCATCGAGAGATCCAGTGCTGTCAGGGGAAGGTCTCTATAGCCAAAACTCATCAGTTGGACCGGAGGAGCCAAGCACTGGCTCTCATCGTCCACCTGCTGTGAGATGACTTCCAAGTCTGACAGAGCTGCAGTCTCCACATCCCTAGCAGACCACCAAGAAAAGACAGGACACACATTAGACCTTGATCCGGTGGATGACCACTGAAAAAAAATAAGGGTTACAAAATGAAAAGAAAAAAAAAAAAAAGTGAATTAAAACTAACCTGACAATGCCGATCAAAACTGACTGTTGTCCAACTAACATCTCATTTAAACTAAAACCACTTTTTTTCCACAAAATGTATTGTATGTGCCAGCACAACTCAAACACCGCAATTTTGATTTTATATACACACACACACACACACACACACACACACACACACACACACACACACACACACACACACACACACACACATACTTTTGTGGAATCAGAATTAAATGAAATAATTCAGCAAGATTTCGAGCAGCGCCTCTTTGGGAGAAAACTGAAACTGTGTCGAGCTGTCAGCATCAAACATTTTAGCCTGTTAAATGTGCCTTTGAAAAGTAGTGCGCTTGAATGTCCGGAAGCCGACCAGACACTTATGGCTCACTGGCGACAGCCAAGTGACCATTCTCTCTGGCTGAGCGCCACGGGTGAATGGCAAAGGCAGCTAGCTGTTAACCACTAGCTGCTAACACCAAAGACTGATGAGACCGGTTATTGCGAGTCAGCATGTCTGCTGTTAGCTAGCTATACCTGCATCTAACCAATGTGTACTACACCTTTTCGTTGCTAAATATTTACCAACCACAAAGTGGGCAGGAAGGGCTGATGGACATCACATTCTTGCAAATTCGCACATGTAAATAAGGTGGTCTCCGTAGGTGACTAGATGCAGTGTTTTTAAGTTTGTTTGTTTCTTTAGATACTTAAAATATATATATATATATATAGCTGCTGCTGTTGTGAAAGCGCTATATAAATCAGGATGTATATATATATATATATATATATATAAACACACAGTATAAGAACGGTATATTTAAATATACGGCATCGTTAAAGAAGATATATTTATCTTTTCTTAAAATTTTACAGGAAGGCGTTTCATCTTTTGTTCCAGTTCAACGTAGCAGCCGATAAGTAAAAGAAGTGAAAGATGGTGCCAACACAAAGCGAGCCGTGACATAGCACAAAGGCAGCACAGATGAAAAAGACTTAAATTATTCATTCGGGCAACATGAAGAACACATTCTTATTCACTGCCGTGCCCTTGGGGTAGCAACGCTGGGTCACTGAGGGTCACGCACAAACACCCACTCGGGATCATGAAACGACTGAGCGCTCACACAGTTTAGCAACACCAGAGAAGTTGCCGGTCCGACGTTCGCTCGGAGGGACCGTAATAACTGGGGCGTGTCTTGCTTGAAGTGCAGCGCTCGCATACATTTGTGGCCACTGTTTAATGCATTTAAAGCAACGGCTAATCATCACAACGCCGCAAGAGACACTGAGAGGCTGAGGAGAGGTTATCGCAAGACAGCTTTGAAAAGCTCGTATATTTTAGGAATTATGAGCACATTAGGGGCGGCCCGGTAGTCCAGTGGTTAGCACGTCGACTTCACAGTGCAGAGGTACCGGGTTCGAATCCAGCTCCGGCCTCCCTGTGTGGAGTTTGCATGTTCTCCCCGGGCCTGCGTGGGTTTTCTCCGGGTACTCCGGTTTCCT